GTCCTGTCGCAGTGGGAGGGCTTGTAATGATAGTAGGACTTGAGATGGGCACACCTCCGCCTGGTGGTGCTGTTCCGCCTGGTCTGGTTGGTGTCGGGGGACTCGTGGCGATAGTAGGAGTTAAGACAGGCACACCTCCCCCAACAGTACGAGTGATGTTAGAGACGCCAGGGCCTGTAGGTATGGCAGGGGTCAAGGTCACACTCGGCAATTCAGTTGGTCCGGCCCCGGCAGTGCGTGTGACGTTTGCGAAACTGGTTCCTGTACTCACAGCAAGTCTGGAAGTTTGAGCAGCAACTGATGTCGCAACTCCAACCCCATTAGTGGGGAGGAGAACAGTTGAAACGATGGTTTCTGTAGTTGTAGCTACAACGTGGATTGAAGTGGTGTTGGCGAATCCAATTGGGCGTCCTCCAGGACCATGCGGGATGTTAGGAATCCCGGTAGCTGAGGTCACTGGCAGAGTTGTTGTAGGTCCTACGGCTGCGCCTCCGCCTCCGGGACTTTGCGGTACTCCGGGAACCCCAGTAGCCGAAGTCGCTGGCCGAGTTGAGGGTCCCGCAGTTGCGCCTGCGCCTTCGCTAGGAGCCTGAGGGGCACTCGAAATGTGTGTCCCTGTCACGGCTGGGCCCTGTGGAGCACCAGGGCCCGCGGCTGTCGGAGATAGGGCGCCAGGACCCGTTGCAGTAAACTGAGGTGAAATGGCGGGAACGCTTGGAGATGCGGTTGAGCCACCCGCTCCTTGAGGAATCTGAGGACCAGGGCAAACTGTCTCAGTAACGGTGACGGTGGTAGTAGCAGTACTCGTGCCAGGAGCCAGACAGGGTGCGCAGGTCGGCGCGGCAGGAGCGGGACATGGTGGACAGGCTTGCGTCACGACCATGGGCGCAAATGGAGACTGAAAGGGAGGCGCGGAGACTGTGACAGGGGTCGATGCACTGGCAGGCACGCCACCCCCAGCAGGAGAGAATCTCGGTCCCTCAGAGGCAGGGACACCTCCACCAGCTGGGGGAAACACCGGAGGGGCAGTTGAAGCAACTCCTCCGGCCGGGGAGATACCTGGGCGTGACTCAGTAGCCACTACTTCAGATGAAGCAGTAGCTGGATGGGACTGAGTAGCCCCTCCAGTTGGCGCTGTTGTTGGGAGTGATTCAGTAGCAGCTCCTCCAGTCGGTGCTGTTGCTGGGGGTGGCCGAGTAGCCCCTCCAGTTGGCGCTCTTGTTGGGGGTGGTTCAGTAGCAGCTCCTCCAGTCGGTGCTGTGGCTGGGGGTGACTGAGTAGCCACTCCAGTCGGCGCTGTTTTTGGGAGTGACTCAGTAGCAGTTCCTCCAGATGGTACAGTAACTGTATGAGTTGCAGGGGGAACCACAGATGGGACAGTAACTGTATGAGTTGCAGGAGGAACCCCAGATGCCATAATCGCAGCTAGGGATGAAGACAAAGCTGCACTAGCTAGACCTGCCGATCTTAAGGCCTCCGGGGGTGGTAGCTGGCCCAGGCCGGGTTTGGGAGCAGCTACCGCACCATGGAGGAGCATCCATGCTGCTGCTGCGAGTGGCAGGGCCTGCCTCCCAGTGTGCATCTTGTTCACAGAGCAACCACAGTAGGAGATAGGGGAATGCAAGGAGAAAGAGACGGCTCAGGGTTATGAGCAGCTATTCGATCAGCGAATGGTTTGAAGACATCCTGGAGATCTAGGATAAGCACCAATTATGTACCCGACCTTGAGTTATGATGTGGTCTGTATGTCATCCAGCGAGCGGTGCGGTATCGGGTCTCAGTGGAATGAGCACACTGGTAAGCTTCCAGCTCTTGATTCCGGACGTCCTGCTGGAACCTGTCGGAGCATTGCAACCACGGTCACTCTAGCTGACCATCATCCTGACGCTCGTGCCTATATTCAACGATATATATCGAGTTGAACGATAAATAATGTGGATGCGCTTCCAAAATTGGACGTGGTCGTCTCAAGGTATTATGGGGACACAAACCTTCGTGATCATCAGGGTAACCCATTTAAAGAAAGATAATGAAGTCCGTCTCAACCAGATTGATTATCCTTTGAATAACAAGTACATGGGCTCGACTTGACGTTCGGGCCGTTGGTATCCCTGGTTCAGTCGCATTGTTTCCAGAAACTGAACTGCTCACTCCTGTCCGGAATAGATTTCCGGCGTCACATCTGGATCATCTCTTCATCATCTTCATCATCTTGCACCAAGCTGCCTGTACGGCGGCCAGTCGCGCAATCCAGAGAATAGTATTCCCACGATTTCTTTTCGCGCGTACTGGTGTGTACTTTGGTCGTAGGTTGGCTTCCATTCGGCCTTCCGTAACTCCCATCAATTTCCCTCTGCAATTGCTGCTGCATCTAGGGTGATTTGTCGGGTGTAAGCACACCGCCAGACGTCTTAATATTCGATTGAGACGGGATTCAGTAGACGACCCATGGTTGACGCCAGCCAACATGAATTAATTTCGCTGCAGTGACGCATGCGAGACCGAGGGCATAGCAGCACGTTGTAAAGACAATTAGACCCCAATACTCTCCATTGCAACGGCTGAGAATCTCGCCTGCAATTGGAATCCCGGTGAGAGTGCTAATCCAAAGTTCAGTCAGCCATCAGAGTGCCAATGATACAATAAACACGCACGAATGTAGTTTGAGCTCACCCAAAGCTGACGATGGTATACGCCGTGGCGTAGTATCTCCCGTAATTCTCAATCTTGCAGAGCTGTCCAATGCAGACTGGCGTAAGACTGATATTGCTGCCACTGGCGAACCCGAATATCACGCAGTAAACAATCATTAAAGGAACGTTGCCGCCAGCAGGAAGCCAGAGACACGCATTGCACACTAGGCAGAGAGCCACTGTGACAATCAGTGTGTTGAAGCGACCAAGGAAATCTGCGATGAATCCTGGGATCGCTCTCCCTAAGACCGAGCCCACGTTGAGGAATGCTACCATTTGATATGACAATTTTGTAGAGACCCCGTGGGCTAGAGCATATGAAGAGATATAGCTGATCGGAACAAAGAGGCCCCATTCAATGAAGAAGATGCCTGCTGTTGTGAAAGCGAACTTGGCATCTCGAAAAATCCGAAAATCGGGGAGGACGTTCTCCTTGGAAGCCGGCTTCTTAGGCAGGCGCGACTTCACCAGCAGGCAGGATCCGATTACCAAGATCAAACAAATCAAGGCAATAACACGAGTTGCCCATGCCCAGCCAATCTTGGGAAAGAGAGTCTCCAGGACCAGTGGGAAGACTATTCCCCCAACAGAGCCTCCAGTAGCAGCAAGACCAGTTGCAACGCCGCGTTTTTCGTTGAAGAAATGCCCGACTGCGGATATCGCCGGCGTAAAAATGAGAGAGGCTCCCGTTCCTCCAGCGACTCCGATCACGAGCATGAAATGCCAGTATTTAGTGCAGAACCCTAGGGCAATCATCATCACCATGACTAAAACAGAGCCGGCAAGAACAAGAAATCGAGGCCCTTTCGCATCGAAGACCGGGCCGATTTGAACTCCGCAAAAGAAGGTCAAACACGAGTAAACGCCAAATATCCAGCCCACGTTGCCAGGGCTGTATTCTTTCAGCTGATGATCTTGAAGATACGCCTGAAATGTGCCGATGGTGTTGACCAGACCAAGGGACGCAAAAAGTCCCATGAAACTTCCAAATACCACCAGCCACGCCTCTAAACCGCCTTCTGGATATGTGTTTCCCTCGGCATCGGTTGTAACCCGACTCACGGGAATCCGATATTCCGAGGTATCTGAAGGAATACCATTGATGCACTGTCCATAGCCTCCTTCTTCGAGCACTCTGTTTGTCTCGTGAGTTGAAGGTAGGCCATCTTGTGAATGATGCTGCGTCGATGACTCAAGTTTTCCTGTCTCGCCCACTGAAGGCTTTTCAGAAGCTGCATGAGGCACGGCCATTGACTGTTTCTCTGAATATGAGAGTGGTGATGTTTCCTGAGAGACTGACCGGCTCTCCTTAGATGCGTGGTGATCTGTCTCCCCAACATTGGCGATGCCAGAGGTTTTGGCGTTTGTCAACATGTCAGTGTAGGTCTCAGGCCGAAGTAGACCACGGTTGACTTTGTCCTTCTTCCAATTTCTCCTCCTCTAACGTTTCACAGGCACAGTACCTTCCTCCTCGTTTTCGAGTGATTTGTGGACGAGAGGTGTCTTTTCAGTGCGGGAAAGCATGAGAGGAGACGAGCTATCTATCCAGCTGGATTCAGCAGTGGATGCAGGGATACCTGATGGAAAGACTCCCGACAAAAATCGACATTGCGAAAAGTTGGGATTTGATCTGCTTAGCGCTCTAGCACTTATGCTCTAGCTTGGACTAAATCGTCAAGTGGAGGTTTCCGAAGAGTTGCCCACTGACGGGAAGGCTCCTATTGGCGAAAATTTCGTGGCTCCAGTTGGCTTCGATCCTTTGGCCATAGCGAAGACTTGCATAAGAGAAGATACTAGACACAATCAGGAAGGTCAACTGAGAGCTTGGGAGCTTTGGCATGGCTGCATGAGGGGTTTGCTCACAAGGCTGTACATGGGTAAATCGCCATCCATATGGGATTCATGGTTTTGCTGACAGCTCAGCGCAAGTGCAGGACTGATCGGTAAGGCAAAGCGATCCAAGGAGGTCATTGATACGATATTGGACATGGAAATTGCAGGTAAAGGCAGTAGATGAGGCTACTATGTTGTTGCGATTGTTATAGTTCTGTTACCTGTAACTATTGTAAGGACAGGCTGACTGTTTCGGAGACTGCCGAAAGGTGGGATCTTCCTTGTTCAACTCCGTAGGTGCTGTTTGCATCTTTCCACTGCATGTCATCTCTTCAATACTGATTTTCTGATCCTGTGAGAAAGGAAAAATATATAGAGAGAGAGAATAAAGGATGAACTGAAAAGGATATTAGGGTAGATGGGAAAAAAATTGGACTCGCGGGGAATCGAACCCCGGACCACCCCCATGCTAAGGGGGTATTATACCACTAAACCACAAGCCCAATAGATGACACTCAAATCGTAACTGTGTATTACCATCCTACAATTTCATTGGGCGATATATGATGAACACTGCCCAATATCCTTCACAATCTCGTCCATTTGAGGACTTCATGGCGACTTGATAACACATTTTGTACTATCCAACACTGCAGTAACTCATCTTGCATAGGGCAGATTCCCAACCGATGAGCCGGAAGAATGCCTAAATTTGCAGTAGTCCCAGGGCATGGCAGCCAGCCACAACCAATGCGCAAAGCAAGGCCAATCATGTGTAATATTAGCTTTCCCGTCTTGTACAACCTCCCAGTAGAGGTGAAGGTGGAGATGACAAAGGCCCGAACATTTAGTTAGGCCATACAAGGTGGCAGATGTATGATTCTGGAGTTGAAGTTTGACAAGGAAGTCCGCTGCGTCAAAGAGCACTAAAACCCAATTCTCTAGTATCAGCTGGGCTTGTGGTTTAGTGGTATAATACCCCCTTAGCATGGGGGTGGTCCGGGGTTCGATTCCCCGCGAGTCCATTTTTTGCTTGGTTCAAACGCCCCCAGTCTCTGCTTCATTGTCAGATTGTTCGTTTTTTATGACTCAAACACGACCAGAACAATGCTGAGAATGGCCTCCTCTGGACGCCTCACCACTCTTCAAAATTCAACAGGCTTGGCCGGGTGCATCTCTACATCCCGCTCATCCTAGGACACAGACACCTTTAGTTTATGAGGTGCATGCTTACGCAGGGCGAGTATATCAGGGCTAGTTTCGATAGGTCACAGGGATTTTTATGACTAAGTAGTATGTCTGTTCTGATGGTCCTTTTTGTGGCCTTTTAAGCGATATATGTAAGCCCATGCTACGCTGCTAGATTGGCTCTATATCCAGGGATCATAGCTTTAAAGTGAGATCTGCTTAATATCAGTAGTCTTCTTTTTATAATAAGGCACTAGCAGTGCTGGTGATATAAATATTCAAGCGGATACTTATCAGATCGATGACCATCTCCTGCAAGAGCTCAAATCATCCATTAGTCCTGGGTCCTTATCACTCGATCCTGATCACCAATCGACCACTGTGGCCTGAAAAGAATAAGAGCAGGACAACAATATTGCAACTGTCGACGAGACTACCCCGGGTATCCTTCCAGCCTCCCACCTCGGTGCTACCATAGACACGTTCACTTATCCCACAACGTACAACGTTCGACTGGGTCATGACCATCAATTGTTGGTGGATTACAATATGCTGCTGATTCATCTTCATCCATCTCCTCTGTCACCCAGTTCCGTTCATCATAATCGCAAAACAAGTCTCTTCAACACGCCCCATAGATGAATCATTCAGGTCTGACCGCAATGCCTCCTCATCCACGATCAGGCATGTCTACACCATCCAGATTCCGCATACATTGTTTTTTTTCAGGATAGTTGCCCTGTTCTTACTGGCATATGGTGATCATCCACTGCTTCGATGATGCTAGATAATGGGTATATAGTCTAGCATTGTTCAGAGCTGCAGTCTTGCAGGGTTAAGTCTTGAGGACGGAGATATGATTTGCACT